AATAAAATATTAATTTAAAAAAAATATTTGTTTTTTATATACTCAAATAAAAATTAAAAAATACTATCGACAAATATGAATTATAATATACATCAGTAAAATCATTGCAGAAGTTAATAAAATTATTTAAGGAACTAATCTTTTTGATCATATTTGAATAGGAAATGTATATATGCAAACAATTAATGCATATAGTAAAAAATTTTAAATAAAGTATGTATTAAATGTGAGTTGATTTTTTTTGCTACTATTTTTGGTAAATAATATAGCTTTTAATATAAGTATAGATATAATTAATTATTACTGAACCCGCCTAATTTTAAACTTTTACCATAAGTTTCAACATTAGGCCGATGAGCAAACGTTTACTTTCATAGTTTCCTGCACTGATGACGCATACAAAGTCAAAGCTATGTTTGCAGTAAGTCCACATACGTCAACTACAATAAAGTGTGTGTTCCACTAATAATTCAGAACATATTACATTGGAATTAGTACCAATACTATTGCTATTCTTACAGTTAATACCATCATATCATTATGTTGAAATAATTAAAAAAAGAAAAATGGTCAATACAAAATCAAGATAAAAAGACTAATATAATTAAAAAAAAAATATCTTCTTTGCACCAGACTTAACGATTCTAATCTACATGGTTAGCTCGGGTGTGGCCAGTTCAATGGAGTTTCAGCTGGGTATCAGTTTTTGAGCTCGTCAGAAAGCTCGTTTCGACAGCTGAAGGTACGAGTCAACCTAATTAAAGGCTTAAGGTGTCGAGCTCCTCGGAGCAACTAACAGTACAAGTCAACTTGATTAATGGATTTAGGTGCCGAGCACCTCCATGAGCTTGGACAGACGAAGGAGTATTACGACCTCAAGGTCGTACAGTCAAAGACGGAGCCATATAAGGCCCAGGGGGGCCCGTGGGCCCCCCTCATTTTTTTGAAAAAATCAATATATATATATAATATATATAAATAAAATATTATAAATAATATATATATATAAAGAAAATGCTATAAAATATGTATAGAAATGTAAAAAAATTTTACAATATATTAATAATTAAAATTTAATTTTTATGTTGTTTTAAATTAAATTAAAAATAATATTTATTTATTGAAAAATGTAAAATTTTTATGATTTACTCTTTTTGTCTCCTAATTGTAAATCAATTTAGCGATATAAACCGAGTATGTAGTTGGAGAGAAATGCTCACCTACCGTGGGTAGGGGAGTATTTCTATGTAGTTGGATTGTTATGTTTTTAATGTTAATTTTTTTTTCTTTTGTAATCAACAAAAATGTCATGCAATATATTGCAAAATTTCAATTTAAATTAAATTTTCTACCAAAAAACTTATTTTTCTATAACTTATTCTTTGACCTGGCTAAACTAAGAAGCCGAAGCCCCATGCTTTATTGGCTAAAGCCCCTTCTTTCTTAGAAAATGGATGTTGAAGTTAATTATAAATACATGAAATCTCATTAAAAAAAAATTGAGGGTGATACGGATTATAAGTAAACTATCGATATTTATATTTATAGTAAATATAATTTTATATGAAATGAACGTTTCGACTTAAACTACAAGCTCCTAAACATTTAAAATCGGGCCCTCCTGAGTAAAATTCCTAGATCGGTCAATGCGTACAGTAAAGGTCGTATTTTCGACCTAGCATGCATTCACGGCAGGTGGGTCGCAAAGTCGTTAGGAAAATCTAAGGACATAAAATGATAAAATGGGACAGAATCCTATTTAGGGTGAAAAATTTATCTCGCTAATGAGTCTAAGTTCATAGAGACGTGATAAGCTAAAAAAAGAGGTACAATAAAATTTCTTTCATAATGAGGAGTCTACTTAAGCAAGAATACACCCCGAGAATATAAAGGGTAACCAGGTTTCACTTTATTATAAGGCATTATTATGTCTTTTGCATAAAGTTTTTTATATTCTCACAAACGAGTACTGACTTGAGCATTTGAGGTTTTCCATTGAGAGTTCTCCCCGCATATTTGTAGGACATCGGAGCTCGAGACAAAGGATCGTTCGTGTTGGTGCCGGTTTAATCCAGTTAGAGAGCAATTTGTGTATCAAATTTGCTCTGTCTGTAGGAAGAGTCTAGTCTTTACTGACTACAAGAGGCTAAGAATTTATGCATTTCAATTTTTTCCAACTGACCATAGCACTTCCAGGCCCATTATTCAAGTCGTTAATCTCTAAGTTGGATATGCATAACATCAACATGAACTTTAAGACGGTAATAGGGATAAGATGGATGATATTTTAAGTGAGGGTGGGGGCTTCAGTATTCTTGAGATTGACCAGATCTGGCAAATTCCCATACTGGAGGGAGGTTCGGACGGCATGAGGTGGAGACTTACATCTTCGGGTGCATTCTCTACGTCCTCGGCCTGGGGAGATGTGCGGCTGGGTAACCGCCCTAACCTCCTCTTCGGGACCA